CATCCTTGTTGTACTCCTTTTCCTATGCTGAACCAATCAGTTGTTCCGTATCCGGTTCTAACTGTCGCTTCTTGGCCCTTATACAGGTTTCTCAAGAGACATGTGAGGTGGTCTGGTACTCCCATCTCTTTAAGGACCTGCCATAGTTTGTTGTGATCCACACAGTCAAAGGCTTTAGCATAGTCAATGAAGCAGAAGTAGATGTTTTTCTGGTACTCTCTTGCTTTCTCCATAATCCAGTGAATGTTGGCAATTTGATCTCTAGTTCCACTACCTCTTCGAAACCCAGCTTGTACTTCTGACAGTTCTCTATCCACGTACTGTTGAAGCCTAGCTTGTAGGACCTTGAGCTTGTAGGATCTTATTTACAACTCGGCTTTTACGCAAGAAGCAAGCCAGTCCCCTTAGCCTTTTCTTAATCAGGCACAAATCCTGTGGCCACTGTTGTGTTTTCCAAATTTGCTGTCAAATTGAGTGCAGCACTTTAACAGCATCATCTTTTAAGACTTTGAATAGCTCAGCTGGGATACAATCACCTCCACTAGCTTTGTTGCTAATAATGCTTTCTAAGGCCCATTTGACTTCAGATTCCAGGATGTCTGGCTCGAGGTCAGTGATTACACTGTCGTGGTTGTCAAGGACATTGAGGTCCTTCTTGTATAGTGTATTCTTGCCATATTTTCCTAATATCTTCTGCTTCTGTTAGGTCCCTACCTTTTTTGTCCTTTATCATGGCCAGCTTTGCATAGAACGATCCCTTGATTTCTCCAATTTTCTTGAAGAGATCTCTAGTCCTTCCCATTTTATTGTTTTCCTCTATTACTTTGCATTCAGAAGAGAATACGATAGTCTAAATGTTAAAGGACACCACAAGCGCCATTATTGCAATAGCTGCAAACAGTGTGGGAAACAGATGAATTTATAGTGGCAGATCACAAAGTGAATTTAACAAATTTTAGTACCTGTGCCACTAAAAATGTAATATATTTTTTAATTTGTGAATGTGAAAATGTTTATGTGGGTTCTACATCTAGGGTAGTGAGAACAAGAATTGCAGAACATAAATCAAGACTTAAATATCAGAATTTGGAAATTCCTCTGATTCAACATTTTAGACAAGCCAATCATAGGTATGACAGCTTTAGGTATACTCTTCTGGAAGTCATCCAACAAAGAAAAGGGGAGAGAATTGATCTTCAACATCGCTTACTTCAGCACAAAATGTTTTGGATACATAAACTGGACTCTCTATACCCAAAAGGCTTGAATCAATCTATGGACCTCACATGCTTTTTATAAATAATTGTGTATTCTGTCCCTTTAAGTCAATGTTTGCTTAACAGCTGTAAATAATTAATGCGGCTACTTTAATTATGAGTACGATAAGCCATAGACTAGAGGTACTTTGTGGATCCAGACAGATATTCTCTTCAGGAAGGTTTTGCAATCTGTGCCTGGCTGATTGGTTGTGTGATACTTGTTTAAAACCTGTATCTGTGTTATTGTTCAGAGTTGGTATTTACATTTTTTATTTTTAAACACAGATTGGTCTTGCTGAAAACAGACATAATCTTAAGTGCCTGAAGGTTACTGCTCTGTATAGGGTAAGATAATGATTGGAACTTTGGTAAATCTTTGATGGCTGATAGCCTTCTGTTTTTAAACTTCAATAACATTTTTTTTTAAAAAAATAATAGATATTTCCTGAGGAAGAATTCCATTTGAAACATTGAAAATAATCCAGAAACGACGTTGAATAGGATTTTTCTTATGATTTATAGAAACTGTATTTTGTACATTTGTTAATTATATACATTTCAAACAGACATTATTCATTGTGTAGAAGAAGAACAGTATTTTCTTTATGATTTATTGAAACTATGTTTTGTACATATGTATGCACATTAAATAGACATTATTCACTGCACATTTATAAGTTGTCTGACTGTTGATACTTTGGGGTCTGATGTTCACAATTGTTTTTTTATTCTGTTTGTGTCTTCTGAGATCTGACAGGATCAGGCTAGCCTTGGCTATCCAGGTCAGGGCATAGGTCAAGATGAGAGAGGGACTGGCTCAAGGTCACCCAAAAGGCTTCCACGGCACAGTGGGGATTTGAACCACGGTTTCCCAGATCCTGGTCCAAAACTCTAACCAATACACCACTCTTGCACTGGCTTTACTCAATAAATAAAACTCTAGATTTCATAAGACACTGGATGAAAAGAGATTTCAGCATACTGCGGTTCTTATCTCTCTCACAGGTAAGGGGTCCAGGATAGTCCTTTCCCACAATGTATTGTGCATGGCCACTTAGGACCCTATTTCAAGTGAATCCACTTTCTTCCTGTCATCTTTCTTCATTGCCTACCTTTCACACCCATATGTAGTAATGCTGAATACTATCATACGAATTATCATGGTCTTGGTTGCCAATGGCACATCCTTACACTGAAGAATCTTAAAAGGACAGGATAAGGGGTGCAAAAACATGTCTTCTGTCTGTGATGAAAACTTCAAAATGTTATATATATTTTAAACAACATTTTCTTAAAAATTGGCATCCTAATCCATTGGGATTAGTAATATTCATTTCTTTTTGGGGGGCTTACAAAACAAAACATAATAGGTGGCTTACAAAACAAAACATAATAAAACCAACAAATCAGGTAAAATCCACATTAAAAGCCCACTACAGCATAAAACATAGACCATAAAAATAGACCACAGACATCGTAAAGTCTGTATATAAAACACAGACCAAAATAGTATTAAAGGATCAACCCCTCAATTAAAAGCTTGGCTAAACAAAAATGTTTTGCCTGGTTAAGCAATGTAGGCATCAGGTGAGCCTCAAGGGGAAAGGCATTCCACAAGCAAGATGCTGCCACTGAAAAACTCCTGTCTCCAGTCGCCACCTGCCTCACCTCTGTAGGCTGGGCACACAGAGCAGGGCCTGTGAGGCAGATCTTAACTGGCAGGCTGAACAATACGGGAGGAGGTGGTCATTCATAGTCATAGTATGACTATGGTGGCTTTACATTTCAGGTTTCTTCATTTCAAGCCTATCATGCTACCTCTCTGATTTTGTGTGGTTATGTGTGATGTAGTTTTAAATTTCTTGTTGTTTCTTTCTCTCACCTAAAGTATCTAACGCTGCCACTAGGAATCTAATTCTTAACTTTTCCCACAGTATTGTGCCCAAACTCTACGGCTCCTTCATTGGACTATGTGGTTCTGAGGATGAGACTTTTACATTTTTAAACAGCATATGACTCTGGGTTAACAATAAACAAGGAAAAACTTTATTGGCACAAGAAGTGTATTGGTTTGTTGTTTGTCTCTTCGGTGAATATACCTTCTCCAATCTTTATTATATGTTGCTCAGTAAAATCTTTCTTTTTTAACTCAGATCTCTGTCAGCTTTTCCCCCTCACACTCTTGTAATACTCTGACAACATTAGATTTTGCCTAATATGCCCCTTGAAGTATTTTTCTTTCTCCTTTAGAATCTTAATGCCTTTCACAGCCCTTATATATGATTCTAATTGGAAGACTGTAGATTGACCACAATTGACAACTGCTGACTGAACACTCAGCCTTCTCTCTCTACACACACACACTTCTTAGCCCCGCCCACACACTCTCAGTCACCAACCAATCACCTCACTCACTCATCTCCTTCTTTGACCCTCCTTGTTCTTCTGAAACTTACCAACCATTTAAAGAAACATACTCTTATAACTTGAAATCCTTACAAAGCCGTATCAACAAATATATATGCAGCTGCTGTTATCATTCACTTTCCACTGGCATTCGCAGCTTAATTGCAACTGTTTTTCTGGTTCTTACACTGGCATTCAACAAGCTGCTGAGCCCATGTTTGGTCTGGCAGGCAGCGAAGGAATGGAAACCCCACTAGGTTATACACGCTGAAACACACAACTTCAGCATCTTCTCCAACAGTGTAATGTTTCTTTTCGTTCTGAAATGAAATATTCGGGAACAGTTCATTCACTGTGAGAAAGCGTTAGCGATCAGAACATGGTTTAAAAGCTTTAAATACATAGCCTTATTTCAGAATAGGCAAGCTTTTTGTATTTCATAAAATGTTGCGTCATGATGTTATAGATGCCTGTACTTCATACAAAAAAGTAAACAAATCAAAAGAGAGGCATCAACAAATATGACAAAGAAGTGAGAGGGGACAGAAACCTCAAATGGTATCCCGAAATTAATATTTTCATGCATCCTGGGTTTCTGGGCACCTTCTGAGATTTCATTCCTGTTTTTGTTTTTAGGCATTGGTGCTCTCTTTTTCAGTTTCTTTCTTATCCCAAGGCCTTGTTAAGCCTTTGCCAGATGATATCAAACTTCTTGATAAGGTCTAAGTCAGCAGCTTTATGCTGGAGTCTCCCTTTAATGTTCTTTTTTTCTGGAGAATGTTGATTTTTTGAGACCAGGAACAACACCTGGAGACTGAAACCCCCCTCCCCGATTTCTGAATATTTGTAATGTGTCCATTTATTCTTTTGGTGTAAAGACTGACCCGTTTATCCTATGCAAAAAACACAGAAAAGTGTTGTTGACACACACACACACCTGAATATGGATTTTTCCATTTCACTATGACAGCTAACAGCTATAGAGATGAGCTTTTCTGTTGTCCCAGAAGGTCAGACCAGAACCAACAGCTTGAAATTAATTCAGAAGAGTTTTTGGCTAAACATTAGGAAGAACTTCCTGACAGAGTGGTTCCTCAGGGGAACAGCCTTCCTTGGGAGTTGGTGGGCTCTCCTCCTTTGGAGGTTTTGAAGCAGAGGCTAGGTGGCCATCTGACAGCAATGCGATTCTATGAATTTAGGCTGGTTGTGAGAGGAAGGGCAGGAAGGGATGTGTCAATGGTCAGCTCTTGTGGCCCCTTCTTACATGCTCAGGGTAATGGTGATCACCACTTTGGGGTGAGGAAGGAATTTTCCTCCAGAACAGATTGGCCCAGGAGGAGGTTTTTTGCCTTCCTCTGGGGATAGAGCCGGGGTCACTGATGGAGTGGGGGAGGGGCAGGGTGTCATGAATTTCCTGCATTGTGCAGGGGGTTGGACTAGATGCCGCTTGAGGTCCCTTCCGGCTCTATGTTTCTATGAATGTCTTACAGTTTTGAAAGCTACTGAGAATCACCAGTCTGGAGCAGCAGCAGCCAGGAACTAACAAAACCAGGGCCACCAATTTGGCAAAGTGATGTTGTGTCCAGCATCCAGGGGTCATTTCGTAGAAAAAGAGCTAGGGGAACTCATTAGCATAACTCATTAGCATATGCCACACCCCCTGACATCAGGGGCCCGGCGGTGGACCTGCAAGGCCAGCGGGAGTGCGAGGAAGCCCCACCAAGGCCCTCCCTGGCCCCAGGCAGGCAGGGGTGGGGAGAGGCGGGGAGGAAGCAACTTACCCTCCCTCTTCTCCTGCCTCCTCCTGGCTGAATGAGGGCTGGAAGCGGGGCGGCCGAAAGCAGGGGGCGGGGCTTTGTCATGTGCCTCGCCCCCCCGCACCTCATCCGGGGGAACTGCGTTCCCCCGCGTTCCCCCCGAAATGACCTCTGCCAGCATCCAAGTTTTAGACAAGCTTCCTCCCCCCCACCCCATGTTAACAAGATCCAGCATACACAAAAATCCTCACCCTGATGAATCCATGTTCTGGTGGGTCTGGTTTGAGGCATCCTGATCCAGGCCGGCCAATGAAAACGTCGCCCTCCCTTTTGGCTTCTTCATTGTCAATTATACACCAGTCTTCACTAAAAGAAATCAATCAGAGGGAAGAGGACTAGACAGCCATCTTGTTCAATCCCCTGTTGTGAGACAGGATCAGCGGTTCTTTATGGATCACGCTTTACAACTGGAACCGCATGACACCCCACAGCAGGAAAATGTTGCAGAAAGCGGCTTGCAAAGGCAAACATTCACAAACACAACCATACAGCTAAAACAGGAAGGTACGTAAATGATACTGGTTATAACAAAGGAAATCCCACCCCACCCCAAGAATTAGGAAATAAAATGGAAAAAGAAATACTTTAAAAAATGTAGATGCCTCAGAAATTGATGCTATTGCATAGTTTTCAAAGCAAAATAATAAACCTGAAGATAGAATTTAAGGGCAATTTAAAACAGATAAAGTGTTCTACTTTTCCCCCTCTAGTCAGCTGCAGGGGGTGGGGTGGGTTTGCATCAGAAACCTGTTTGACCAGAGGCAGCAGCTGTAGAACAAAAGAATAATATCTATCCATGGGCAGTAATGTGGGGCTGAGCCAGCCTCTCTCACTTGGCAGGGATCACACACTCCCAGATGAACAAAACCATCAGGATATGCCCTGTAAATAACGAAAACTTTATAACCCAGCTGCCAAGCATGGGTGTCTACTTCTGTAAGCATTTTGCAGTGCAAGATGATGCAGAATTTTTTATTTTTTTATTTTGCTGTCGAGTCGCAGCCAGCTTATGGTGACCTGTAGAGTTTTCAAGGCAAGAGACTGTTCAGAAGTGGTTTGCCATTGCCTTCCTCTGCATAACAACCCTGGACTCCCTTGGTGGTCTCCCATGCAAATACTAACTAGAGACAACCGAACTTAGCTTCTGAGGTCTGACAAGATCAGGTTAGCCTGGGCCATCCACGTCAGGGTGATGCAGAATTACTCCAGTCTAAGGAGTAATGAATGACTTAGACTGGAATGATTTTACAAAAGGGTCAGACCAACAGGACTCTGGTGTCACCTTAAATGGGTCATTCCCGTAATTAACTTAAAGGGGTCATTTCAGTCAAGGGGTCATTCCAACATTCACTTTTGTGTGGACTAACACTGTGTGTCGTGCTGCCAGGAAGAATGTTGAATCATCTGAAATGTGGTGTGTACAGGATTAACCCACTCAGGCCAGTCCAGGGATGAGGGGAATCCTGTACTTTTCAGCACATTAAACAACAAACCACGAGATTGTCTATACCCTCTCTGGTTTTCAGAACAATTATCCACCAGAATCTCTTCAAGGGTCCCCACCTCACTTTGAGAGCCGAGATTCCAAACTCTCAGTTGGCCTCTGGGACTTATTAACACAATAATATCACAGGGTAGCTCTTTATGTGGTCAGCGTTAGACACAAGATTTTAGCCTTGGAGCTCAAGTACAACATCAGAAGCAATTAGGAATAAGAAGGATCTTTATTCAGTACAGAGCATAGCAACAGACTATTAGAGGATACTGAAAACAATAAAACACCTAGGGCTATTTGCCTTAACTACACATTAAAGATACATAGTTACCAAGTTCAGGAACATCCAACAGTCCAAAATAGTCCAAGGGATTTTGAAGGGAAATCCCATCTTTGCACAACCATGTGGTCCAAGTCACAAAGCAGGTCTTTCTTTCCCAAGAGACAGCATTTCAGGTGTCATAAAACAGACAATGACAAGAGGAGGAAGGGAGAGCTAAGAGCAAGCAACTCACTCCCATAGGGATCAATCAATTATACCCCAATTACTAGTCACGATTAGCTGTGTCCATCAGCCAATCGCGAGCAGCAGGGGTGTGTGGCCAATTGTTGGTTGCCATGGTTGCTAACATCAGGTTT